TCAGCTTTGTTACTAAGAAAAAGCAACCTGCTGAGAAGTTCTGGAAAAAGAACAAAACGATCGTCTTATCAGACGATTTTCAAATAGATTAAAAAAGGTCTATTCTGGGAAAAGAGTGCAGACGAAAGGGCAGACAGGCTGCTATGAAAAATCGGATACATTTATTTATCAGTTCTATTTTAAGAAATGCTCTGATTCGAACTGCTGTCAGAAACAGCACCAGCAAATACATCACATACTTAGTGGAGAATATTTAACAGAGCTACACTGTTGCCTCATATGTGAATGCTAATGTATTTCCAGTCTTGACGAATATATGATGGAACTCCTGTCTCACCAGGGCTGATTATATGTACTGAGAGTGCTGATCCATTATTGAGCAGAATAGAACTGAGGCCGTTGACTACGATCTACAAGAGAATGTGTGTGTGTGTGTGTGTGTGTGCGCGCGCTCATCTCCAGAAAGGTGCAGCAGCTTCACTGTGAAACAAAGACTGCACTTCGTGAAACAGACGATGCCTCTGGATATCAACTGGAGTGGGGGAGGGGAGGAGTAAAATTAGCAAGTGTGAACTCACTGTTTGCTGTAACTATGTGTATATTTTTGCATTAATGCAAATTATTAGGGACGGGGGACAGTAGGTGTATTTCCACAGTTGACTGGTAAATAAAAATAAGCCTCGAAACTGTTTGCAGCTCCAGCTCTGCTCCTGCTGGAGAGTTAAGACTTTTTTGAAAAAGGCCAAAAATCTTACCCTACGACGGTGCAGATACTGTAGAATGTAATGAATTGAAACCTGCAGCGAGCAACCTTCCTCATACATCACAGTGTCAACTTAATTGTGGGCGAAGCTGTGTATCTGCTGTGCCACTTCACTGCTGACATGCATTGTTTGGGCAAAAATATGCACCTTAGAGCAAACACCGGGGAGACTTCCTTTTCCTCCACTTCAGGCTGCTGCCAAGGCCACTTCAGCCACCAAGCGCTGACAGGTCTGCAGAAGGTATAAGGAGTCTGCCTAAAATCTGTTCCTACATTTTAAATCCCTGTGGTGCTCGGCTCTCTCTTCCACTCTCATCATGGCTCTAACATAACTGTTGGAGCTGCAGTAGTGGTAAAGGGGAAGAGTCAGGGGCTAACTGTGAGAATGGAAGGGTCAGCTGCACAGCTACACTCCAGGCTCAGGCAATTAACAAAACCCAGAAACATTGGTTTGTCTTCTTCCACCTCTTCACCAGTCTTGTTCTATCCTACAGGTATCGAAGCCATCAGTCTGCCTTGGACCATATATTGGTTAACACTTGACAAAACATACAAATTCTTTTTGAAGCTATACTTATTTATTCTCAGTAATGACCAAAATTAGAGAAAATAAATTGAGATGGATAATTTGATTTTGATTTATTGCTGCTGGTGCTGGTAATTAAGTATCAATGCAGCTGGTCTGTACAGCTACAGCTAAGACAACAGTCCTGCAGTCGACCTTCATTTTATGAATGTTGCACTGCTCAGTTTTGTTCATTCGATTATGCTGTTAAGTCTGTAATAATTCAGGTGGGTTTAATTACAGGAACTTTGCCAACCACTAAAGTCGACTGTTAGCAGTTTCCACAAACACTGAACATTTCAATCTCCACAGCATCGCAGTTGAACAACAGTGGAACTGTGAGCAGTAAACTGATACAACACCATCTCCAGAAACCAAACCACACAAGAACAAGTTGCTTTTTCCATTGTTAATAAAAAATATATAAACCTGTTACTTACATACACAAGTGTTAGAACATTTAACACCCCATATTGTAAAGAAAGCACCACGTCAGCAGCCCCATGCAGCCCTCTTCCAACCGCCACCAAAATATAAATACTTACGCCTACTTTCATACATGCTCCTGGACTGAGCCCAAATCTTAAAAGGATCCGGTTTTCTCTGGATGGTTCCGTCCCCTGGCGAGTCCTGCGTTGGCAGGCCAGGCAGTGGCTGAGAGGGTGCTGGGGGGGTGGCGTTTTCACTGAGAGGGGGCGCCAGAGACTGGTGCACAGGTGAGTCTGTGTGGTTACTCCGGTGGCTGGAAACACTGTGCTGGGAGCTGTTCTGACTGTCCTTCCGTGATAACTGCTGCACAGGAAGTAGAAAGTTTATTGTTCAGATATTGTTTTGTCGTCAAAGCTGAATCAGAGATGAGTTTATTCTAGAATAAAGGACAGGATTAAAGAGAGAAAAAGAAGAACAATGTTGGATTTAGGGCTACAGTTTAATGCTTCTCCAGATTAAAATAAATAAAACACTTTTTTTTTTACTGTTGTCATGATTGCACCAAAAATGTTTAGTTCTTATGGCAAATTCAGCTTTCAATAAACGACTCACTAAAGAACAATGGGAAAACTAATTTTACTAATAAGTGGATGCTCCTCTTTGAATTACTGCAGTTTAAAATAGTTTATCCACCTGAACAGACTCCTGTAAGAAATATTACATTTCCATGTTAATCAAGGTTCCAGCTCCCCAAGTAACACTGATACGTACATCACTGGGCTCATTAGAGCACGTTAAATGCCTGTAAGTGGCAAATAATTTGAGAAATATGAGACGACCAAAAAAGATTCACGAAGGTAGTAAAACAAATGTTTGAATGTTTCTGGAAAAAGCAAATTACAGCACAGATTGTAACACGTTTAAAGATCTCTGGTGACGCTGCCTTGACATGGCAGAAAAACGAAAGCCAAATGGACGGAAAATGATTTACTTTGAACGAACTGCTACAAGACTCATTGGCAGGAGACATCGAGGTTTCAGTTTCCACAACAATGTATTGGTTAAAATGCTCAAAGGAAATGCTCAAGGGAGACAGATGCCGGTGCTGAGAAGAATACCACGGGAATTCAATAGGAAAAGAACGACTGCTGCCTGATGATTAGCCGGGGCTGCTCTTCTTCCTATATCACTATAAAACTGCAATTCTTGAAAGAGATTCAAGTGTCGGGAAATCCTGGGAGAAAACAGAACACTGTTTTTAAGTAAGCTGAGGCTCAGGCGTCACTCAACCTTTTTTTAGGAATCAGTCTGTATAGATTTTTTCTGTCTATTCTCTTTCCAATATTTTCCAAATCAGTAGAACTTGAGAAACATTTTCAAACTGTTTTACTGGAGTAAAATATGGACATACTCCAGTAAAACGGCATTTTCGCCATGAAGTTTCTCTGTCAGCTAGAACATGACGCACAAGCTAAAAAAGTGCACCATGAATTGTTTTTATACAAAGTCCCTGAGGATTCTCAAGAAATGGGAGCGGTCCTATCTGAAATCTCTGGAGAAAGATTTAATAAAGGTGAGCATAAGAGCTAAAACAGTCAGTTCTTCATGACGAATGCTCTGGAAATGCCCATGAAAAGCTGCCATCCTCAGGTTTACAATACCATACCAACCATTACTGTCAAAAGGTCTTATTTCATGATTAAACAAAGTCAATAGCATAAAATATGCTCCATGCTATTCAAGAACAGAAGATTAAAGTACACTCCAAAATGTGCTCCCATTTGTTTGTTTAGGGGTCATTTGTTAAGCAAACAACGGCAAAAAAAAAAACCCCTCTCACATGTGTCTCACGATTAAGTTATTGAATTCCGGAAGAAATAAAACTCAGGTTGAACTTACCAGGGTACATTTCCTATCCCCTATGTTAGAGATCTTGCAATGTATGAACAAGAAACTGCATCCCCTACTGAGTATGTGGGGATGTTCATGAAGTGTGAAGCACATATGGGGTTCCAAATGAAGTGAAGGGATTTCTCCACTGAGGCCAGAAATGTAAAACCCTTCATAAAAATGGTCAGTGGCTGCCTGATAACTTGGGCACTTAAGGAACCGCTCAAGGATTTGTGAGGAGCTGTGTTTAAGCAGGGTAAAGAACATAACAATCCCCAGTCCTGGGCGGAGGTTGTCAGTGAATAAAAAAGAAATGCTATCCCTGACCCATGCCGGACGTCTGTTGAGATGAGGCAGACAATAAATGGAGGATGAATTTGCTGAGGCTGAGGTATGTCGTCTCCGTGTGCGTGGCCTTGGAAGTTCAGCCGGTGTCGTCAATAAATTCAGGCTCATTACTCACTGAATCAACCTCCTACACCTCTGCAATTCATGTTTTTATTCATCGCATCTGCTTGACATAAAAGATAAGAGGCTTCGTGCTTCGCAAATATTAAGTCAGTGCTCCAGCTGGAATCCTGTTCTCTGTTAGCAAGTGCCAAGTGTAAACTCACTGCGTTGTGGAGTTACTTTAAAAAAAGAATCAATGGATCAGCACAATTAGTCGCAAACGGTGGCCGTTCTCGCTGATGCTCAGACCTCAAGACTTTCACCTCCCGGTGACCACACAGTGATATTTAAACTGATTTACATCCATCACACGAGTGACGCTTCCAACCTATTGACCAATGAGGTGTTGTTATGTTCCTGTTTTTTTCTCTTAGCCTGATGCACACGCCGCTCAAACTCTTCTTTCTCCTCCAAATGAAAACAAATCTCTTGCTCCTGATGGTTGTTATTAGTTTTAACCTTCTGCCGTCACTGTGTTCTCCCTCTCCGCTCCGAGACTCATTGGTTTCAACATCGGCTCCAATAACTTAAGAAGAAAAAAGAACAGGAGAAGGGCAGGAGGGTGGGGGCAGAGGGGAGAAAAGAAAAAGGGAGGGGCAAGACTGACGAAAACTAATCCTTGTTGCTTCTCTGAGACTCAGCTGTGTCCTGTTTTTTTTTTTTTTTTTCACTCTCAGGCCTGACCTCAACTTCTCTGTACCACAACCTGAGCTGCTTTTAGAGTGAACTGAACTAAACCCTGGAGATGGTGCAGGAGGCAGCACCTGTACCCAAGATATTTATTCATCATGATAGGATTTTTTTGTCCAGTCTTTTACATTTAATGTCTACATTGTTAGTTATTAGGTTTAACATTTTTGCATGATTCAAGGATAGTATTTATCATTGTATTTATTTTGGCAGAGATATCAAATAAAAATGTAATTTCATAAATCGTTGTGCAAACTTTTTGACCGTTTTTTAGTACATTCTGCTAACATTTGCTATTAATGATACATTTATCCCAAGTCTAGCAAAAGCTGTTGAAATAATAATAATTAAATAAAAAGAGTGCAAAAATGTATTGAAATGGTTTGAGCCATGAAAGCAAGGCTAAATATATTCCCATAGGTTTTTTAAGGTGACAACATAAATGTACATGTTTAAAATGATTGACCATAAAAAGGACAATTTCAGTCCTTTTAGGACATTTAACAAACCCATACTTACTTATACTCATACAAGCTTATACAGTTCATGTATCTGTCCCTTCGCTGTGCATGTGAACGTCCACATCCATTAAAGTCTCTCTCTGGAATCATTAGTTATTGTGTGAGTGAGGAGAAACGGTGGAGCAGAGTTTCCCAAACTTTTTTTTTCTGGGGACCAGTAAGTCACAAACCTTCGTGACCCGTCAAAAGACATAATTTGTAAACTCCTGGGAAACGTGATGTGAGACGACCCAAAAAAAAAAAACCTCTTACGACAAACCTGAGGGTCGTGACCCAGTCTTTGGGAAACAACATGGTAGAAGATACAAACCAGGTGAACCGTCAGCATCCTGCCTTCTGAAGCAGGAAGATTTTGCTACTGTTGTAACTGTATTTCAGAAAGAACTGTTTGCCTACAGTGTTATCATGTGTGTGGTTGCGTCTATAGAAGATAACCAGAGTTAATGTCATGCTGTTACCTTTACTCTGCTTTGTTACTTGAGAAAAACAACCTTAAAACACCCATCACCATCTGTTGTAGTGTGTTATATAAAAATGTCACACAATCACCAGTACTGTCTTCAAAGCACTAACAGCTCTAGACTTCATTATCCCAAACTACCACCACATCTACACCACATCACATACCCTCCTAGTGTAATCTCCGTACGGAGGGGCCAACGCAAAATGACCCTGAAAAACAAAATTGACAAAAACACACACATGTTCAGTGGAAGGCTGTCAATCAATACGTCAGAACTGACAGCCACAGGACCGTCTCTCAGCTGTGATCCTGTGTTACACTTCAAAGCAACCAGCTTAAGCAGCCCAGCACAATTTGATTAGCAGCGCGTTAGCGACCCAGCTTACGCGGTGCATCAAAGCCTCCCCTTGTCCCAGCCTCTGTTAGAAAGGCAATGATGAAGGAGAAAGAGGAGGAGAGAGAAGAGGGGAGAACAGTGTGAAGGCTACAGGGACCCACCCCCGCACACCCACAGAGCATCATAATATCTCTACAAAGTGGACAGACCCACAACATCAGCACAAGTTACACCTTACAGCAGTGAGATGGAGGTGAAGCAGAGGCAGGAGGAGGAGGAGGAGGAGGAGGAGGAGACAAATGGATTTAGCCTTTCTCCACATGTAGTAAAGGTGAAAAAAGTGGCACAAGAGACAAAAGATGAAACATTGAACAAATAAAATAACTACTTACCAGTTTGGGGCTCTTCTTTGTAGGTGCCACTCCTGTGAAACCGGACAGAAGAAAAAATGTTAACAGTGTATTCCACGTTGAGCAAAAGAAACATAACAAACAGGGAAGACTCCAAGAAAACAATGTGACAACAAGCTCAGGTCATCTAGCCCTCGTCTCCTTCTCCCTAGTCTCCCTGATTTGCTTCTCTTTGCTCATACATCCACAGCTGCTTTTTGAGGAGGGAGGAAGGGAGGAGGGGTGGAGGACTGGCAGGCAGGCAGTCAGTGCGATCTATCTGCATCACTGCCGCGGCCAGACCTCACTTTGACTGGTGCAGCAGGAGAGTGGGGCCAGCCCCGAGGGCTCACCCAACACTCGTGCCTTTACACCTGGCTACCGGACGGTGTGCGGCTGTGCACGCATGTCAGCGGGTCAGAGCGTGTGTGTATGTGTGTTTTTGAGAGAGGCAGCAAAAGTGAGAAGTAAGGAAGAAGAAAGGACAGCTATCCCGGAGGAGCAACTAATCCAGAGAATAAATCAGGGAAGAGGAGAAAAAGCAAGCTGTGCCTCTGGAATTCCTGGCCGTTGCATTACCCATGGAGAAGGAGTCCAAGATACTGAACATTAAATTATAGGCAACCGTCAGTTCCCCCCTTACTGAGACCATCTTCCTGTGTCCGCTGAGTGCTGCGCTTCGCCCTCCAAGCCTCCAGCATCTACAGGCAGCTTCGCGTGTCCTCCTTGTCTCTCCCTCTTCTGCCGTCTTTTTCTTTTTTGCTACTCCCTCCCTCGCTCCCTCCCTCTCCCTCTCTCCCTCTCTATTGCACACTGCCCTCCCTCCCCTCTCTACTCTCAGCATCATCAGCTTCCCTGCCTCCCTCCCTTGTTCTGCTCTATCCCTCTCCATCTCAGTTTCCTTCCCACCCACACACAGCGGTAAACACCCATGGAACTTTAGCACACATGCGCATGTTCAGACAGAAACTGAAGTTGGCGGCTGGTATGTGACTATTGACCGTATATAAGGAACGGAGAGAACTATTCATGACCCACAGTGAGACCCCTGAAAACATCACATGCTATTTTTAGTTTTAGAAGTAACCTGGTTTATATGTGTGTGTGTGTGTAACACACAGCGAGCATTCACACATAATTTATAATATTATGCAACCTTTTCTGACTGCACTTCAGTGCTGAGTTCAGGTTTTTTTTCAGTTACATACCCACAGTGAGACCCCTGAAAACATCACATGCTATTTTTAGTTTTAGAAGTAACCTGGTTTATATGTGTGTGTGTGTGTAACACACAGCGAGCATTCACACATAATTTATAATATTATGCAACCTTTTCTGACTGCACTTCAGTGCTGAGTTCAGGTTTTTTTTCAGTTACATTTACATTTAGAGAATTCATTCGAAAGTACTTCATTGTAAAGTAAGGGGATGGATATGATTGGCCAATGTGAGATTGACGGCGCAAAGACGCTTTAAAAAAAGTTGCAAAAGTAATTCTAAAGACCAATGACATTTCAGGAAAATGTTGCTGATGTAATCAACCCTTTTCTTCAAAGACTTCTATCTGAACCAGTTAACTTCCAGTCCAGTTAGAATACTGGATGGAGCCATCTCTGCCCAGAACTTATTTACAGTCTACAATTGTGGCAACAACCACTGTTCAGAGAAGAGGAGTTGGATGAAACTTGAAGAAAACAATTCTATGGGTCTACATTTTTTGGACCCACCCCTCAATTAAAAAGACGAGTGAATTTACAATTATAAGAAATTAGTGAGTGCACGGGTCAAAATGTAGTGCAATTATCTGTTCACTAGTCATTTACATGTATGGCTAGCATTTACTAAACCTGAAACAAAAAGGTGTAGGAATACATGTCTGGGTACATTTGTGTGTTTGTGTAAAACACAACTGGTGAGAAACACAGCGTGACAAACGGGAGAAAAACCTCTCCTGTTTGTTTGTGAGGTACAACCGCACGTATTTTCTCTCTTTCAAGTTTGTGTTATTTTATCTTATTGATTATGATTCATTATGAAAAATTACATTACTTTGCGTTAGTTCAATACATTTGAAATGTAATTTGTCAAGATTTTTGTTGAGGCGATGGTGGAGGCAACCATAAAAGGAGACTCACCGGCGTACAAAAAGTACAAAAAAAAGTACATAAAGTACTAAGTCAAGAAAATAAGCCTTAAGAGCTAAACAATTAAATTGTTTCAATAAATCAATAAATAAATATATTATATTAATTCCATCACATACGTAATCAGCCAGAGTGAGACAGTAGGAAAACATCAGTTCCGAGACAAAAGAGCACTGTAACGGTTCAGTTTCAGCAAGATTTGAGACACGCACACACACGCACACACATCTTTTTTTAATCTCTCAGACATCTGGGTTTATTCACTACTGACAGCTTCAACTGTGGCGTGTCTGCCGCTTTTTTTTCATCTTTCCTCATCCACGGCGTCTCGCCTCCTCTCCTCGCCAAATCTTTGTCAATCGATAAGAATGATTCATTCAGATGTGTGCAGCGATCGTTTAAATCACAACATGTCGGATTTTAACCTACACGTCAGATGTCGCTGCCTGTCATTATGTCTCAGTGTTGAGAGCTGAATTTCTGGTCTTTGTGTCTCGAGCTGTTTTCATTCGGAATGATCCAATTTTTTTCTACTTACTTAAAAAAAAATTAAATTGCCAACCTGTCACTTTTTACTGAGCTTTTGGTGAATTTTGGACACACGGCTGATCTGGTTTTTGAATTTATTTATATATGTATTTACTAATAACTAAATATATGTGACACATTAACAGTGGATGTAAATCCTTCTGACTGATGAGCAGTGAAGACGCCACAGTTTCCAGCTTGGCAGGACAATATCTGGGTTTTCTCAGTGATTCATGACAACCACGTCACATAATTCAGGAGAGGCTGCAGCCGAGCGTTTACATTTAAACAGAGAGGGGGAATGGACACCAATTCTGAGTTGATTTATGATATAAATGGTGTCATAAATTTGGGAGTACACACTATCACTTGTGTAAATTAGATATATGTCCTTGGAATGAAACGGCGAGAGGTGGAGCAGAAGATAGAAGGGCTGGGAGAAAATGGGGGAAGAAAATGAAGTAGCACGCTTTTTTTTATATTTCTGCATATTTACATTTTTAAAACTAATTTTATATCTTTTTATAAAATGTCAATTCCACTGGGCTGTATGTGTGTCATTTCACAATATAAAAATATATGTAATATGAGCTGAACTCCTGGAGAAAAATAAAGAGGAACTTCCTTCTCACAGAGCTGGGGCTGTTTCTACACCACAATGTCCAACGTTTCCAGATCTGTACTGGATCAGAGAGACTAGGTGCAGTGCATGGACACAGTATTTTGAGAATTACGTATGCACATACACATACATATATAGTTAGATATATTTATATATGACAAACAACTATATCTGACTCATTAACAGTGAATATAATCCTTTGGAGTGATGTAACCAAAACAAAACAACATTTGTATAAAGCTGTAAAAAAGGAGTGGAGATTGATTGATTGCCTACAGTTTTTAAAAACCCAAAGTGTTCAGCTTGGCTTCTCAGCAACCAGCTAGCCTGTTAGTACATACACTACGGAGTGGCAGTTTGGGGGCATCATTAACTCAGAATTGGTGTAAGAAAAATGAGGTTATTTGGAGCTCGGCAGATGAACTCACATACGCACAAATACAAACTACAGGAAAAATAAGTAACTTTAAGTCTCAGCTCCAATAAGTAATTGGAGCTGAAATACAAACTACAGGAAAAATAAGTAACAATTGGAGCTGGGAGTCTGTCAAAAGATTTTATAATGTTTGATAAAACTGCTTTAGAGACGATCCAAAAATACTCCAGAACATATTTGCACTGCGCAAAAGTCCGGGGCATCAAATCCACGCCATTACGGTGTGACTTGCCCTCGGCTGTGAACTACAGGCTCCCTCTACAGGCAGGACGTGTTGCACCAAACTGGCAGCACAGCAGTCACTAAACAGAAACTATTAGCACGCAGATGATGTTGTCTGTCCCCGGTTCCTGTTGTGTATGTGTGTTTCTGTTCCAGTAAATCTCCGCCAGGAGTGACGGCTTCCAACAGGCAAGTCCATCTGTCACTGTAGTGACGGTGCCTGGTGACCATGGGGTGAATTGACAGACGGTCTCCAAGCAACTGTTGTCCTGGAAAACAGTTCTATTCTGTACGGTGAAGAAGAGAGCGGCAGGAACCAGCGGTGTACATCAGTGGACAGGACATGACAGCTCAGTTCAGCTTCTAACTGTGTGTGTGTGTGTGTGTGTGTGTGTAATGAGATGTGAAAGATGGTGACAAGGGGACAGCAGAAATAAAAAAGTGTGTGTAGGTAATTTTCAAGCCATAAGAGCTACAGTTATTTTTATCTTCAGTCTGACCAAATGCTGTATTACTTCCTTTTTCCTCAGGGAGAACATTTAAATCTGTAACATTACATTACATCTATTATAGGAGGAGGTTCGAAACTTTTCAAAATCCCATTCATGGACAGATTCTTTTTCTACTTTTGCATCTTTTACTGACGTTTAAATACCAACACGGGTGAAATCCCCTCCTCCCACATACAATCATGTTCCCCCACAGGAGACCCTTCTGCAGATCATCAGCAGAGCATCGTCATGGAAACAACAGATGGTGCAACAGCGAAGATTTACGGCTCTATTGCCCCAGTGGCAATGGTGGTGTGAGGACAGCGCATTTGTAATGCAGAAGGAGAGAGGGGGGAGGGAGGGAGGGAGGGGGAGAGCTAGTAAGATGGGGGCAGGTCAATTTTTATGACTCCAGGTGAATCATGGGCAACAAGCCCAAACCGTCATTGGCCAAACAAATCAATTTGCAGATTAAAACGTGGCATATTGTAGAATTTTGGACTAAGCAGCTCTAAACAGGAAATAGTCGTTGGACATCTGTCTGTCCCTGCAAATCTCCAGATAAATATTAATTACTCACTGAAGTCATATA